TTTTACATAGACGTTCTTTGGTCAGAATAATCTCCATGTATGGTACAGTGGGATTTGGCGAGATGATTGATGAGCAGTAAACGGGTCATTTTGTTCTTGGCGACAATTTTCAAAACCATGCGAAGGCCGTATCGTATACTAGGATTTTACTGCAAAATCTTTTTTTTTTTTTTTTCTTTTCTTTTTAATAAATACCTTGTCATTTTGCAGTAAAATAAAAAAATAGTTATCAATCATCTAGGATAACCATATATAACTATTAATTCTAGCAGTATGATGACGTCACGAAATTTAATGCACATATTTTTTCCTTATGTATGCTGCGAAATAAATATAAAATACCTCAATTTAGTAAAAAAATATCATTAAATGGATTTCTTTCTTTCGTTTAGCTGCAGAATGTCTGCAAAAAAAGCCTTATTTTATTCCAGATTGAGCAGATTCTAATTTCAATCTTCAGTGGAGAAAACAACTCCTATTATATTTATATTTGTGTTTTCAAGTGTTAAGGTGCCTTTTAAGAATACACCTCACACAAATTAAATTTACCTAAAATCAAACCTAACTTTTAGCATTGCGTTGTGATTTATAAGAACCGGATTATCCTGGTGTTGAACTGGGTATGATCATGAGTAATAATTAAATAAAACGTACAGTTGTTATCCAATGTATATATCTTAAATTAAGTTTTTTAAGTGGAAAAGTAAACAAAATTATCAAACAAAGTGTACCAAGAATAATTAAGAATAAATGTCCTCTGATATTTATTGAATAATTAAGTGAATTTGCTACACGTTACAAGTAATACCATAATTAATTTACCTCTTAGCACAGCCAATGTACATTACGCGGATAGACTGGAATTTTCTCGAAACATACCTGGAAAACCTGGAAAAGTCAGGGAATTTCATTCTCTTCTTTGAGTGGCAACCCTGATGTAATTCTAAATTAAGGTACAATTTTGAAGTTTCATGCTGCATTAGGAAAAATAACTGAAAAATTTCAAATTTTCAACGTGGATTAACTTGATCTTTATTGAAGGTATGGCATGTTTTGAAAAAGGTGAATTACACAAGTGTACTTTTATTTGGAGTTCTGAGGGTGATTTTAGATTAAAACTTATCAAACTGAAAACTTTCACATTGGTTTTTGCACACAAACTGTTAGGGGCTATGTTTTTGCGCTGTTTAAAATTTGGCAAAACAGCAAACTTGGTTTGACATACATTTTGAAACTCTGAATTTCAAGGGTAATCTTAGTTCAGTAGGAAATTTTACCTCTAAAGAAAAAGGACCTGTGTCTGATTGCTCCAAAAATTTACAGTATCATTCAAAATCTGTGCATACTAAGTGCTTTTTTTTGTTTAATTTTTAAAATTTACATTGGTATGTTTCTCTTGTAATTTTATTTGTTCTGATATTTCTCTTGTAAACTGGTTTTATCATTTAAAAAAATGTTCAGCTCTTTCCTCCATTCTTCATACTGAAAGTTACAAGCTGCATGTTTCTACTAATCAGCCATAATATAAGATGATCCTTTGACAAATTGGTTTTAGTTGTTACGATCCTTTGACATCATCGCAACAACTAAAACCAATTTTCTTGTGCCTGGCAGTTTCTAGAAAAGTTGTACAGTATAAAGTCTGTAATCCGGACTCGTCGGGACTTCAGCGATTCCGGATTAGGGGTTTTTCCAGATTATAGATCATCAATTTAAATCTGGTAAGATGGCATGTAGAAATTATACAATTAAAAATATGAAACTGTAATGTTTGAAATAAAGAGCAATTATGATATAGAGGGTATCAAAATTTACAAAAAAAAAAAAAAAAAAAAAAGGCTTAATATTTATTTGTTTACTTTATTAAACATTTATTTCAATGTAAGTTGGTTAAGTAGCTTCAATTTCTGTGCTTATACTCTCTCTTTAATTCTATAAACAGACCAGTTACACTGTTGAAGTCCTGTAATTGCTGTGTCGAGAATACCGACTAACTTGTCAATGGAAATTTTTTCATTTTCAATAACCTCTCTGTCACTTTCTTCACTATCAGAAGCGCGCATGGGTAAACGCTTTACGAGCATGTGTAGCGGACGCACGCGTTTGACGCGCATGCGTTAACGCTTTATGCGCATGCAATTTAATTATTTCTTGGTTTAATGCCATAAGAGTTGGAAACATTTTAATATTTTTCCCTTTTAATTGCATCTGCATGAGATGGATAAACAGCAACATCTTTTATTAATTTATTTCTTCCTGATGTTTTTTAATCAAATTCGGTTACCCCTTTCATTGTAATGTCAGATATCATTCAACTGAAATTTATCAGGGTCATGCTGATAAGCTTGGTAAGTACTGGATAAGATTGGTAAGTAGTGGAATAACAACCTCGTTCAGAATTAGTTAAGAATGGGAAAAAAATAATGGTAAAAATTTCTTTTTACATTATGTTTCTACTTTTCATAGATTCCAAGAAAAGGTGTGGAATTCACCAGGAGAAATACTTTTTGAAAATCATCCTTTCATTACCACTGATTTTACAATTCTTCACATATTTCATATTTCCTCAGGTTCGTAATTTAATCTTTCTTAATTCTATATTTTCTCAAAGAACTTTTTTTCGTTTATACTTTCTGGTCTTTAGTCTGAAAAGGGTTGAACTTCAGCAAAATTTTCAATCGCTTATTTTTTATGTTATCATTAATGTTCAGTACTGCAGGTTGAAAGACAGTGTCTCATTTCAAAGATCAAGGATTTCCTTCTGAAATTCACCTTTGTATTATTACTTCTGTTTTAAAATCTATAAAACACTGTAAGCTTCTTAGAATTCCTGCCTTTATCAGTGTGAATTTGCTACTTCGTTTTTCAGAAGAACTATGTCATTGCAGATGTTTCTGTTCATATTTTTTCTGTCATTCACATGAAAGGCAAATTAAAAAAAAAAAAAAAAGTCTGCACTTCACACAGTCTGCTGTTTCAGAGCATTCTTAGATTATCTGTTAAGACAGGAAGAAATTCAACTGTGTACAATCTCAGGCTACCTTATTCAGCAATGAAATGGCCATTCCAGCATTAATTCATAATTCCAGCATTCATTACGATTTAAAAATTATTGGAATTAACGTGCTTGCTCACATAGTCTGTCAGCTTAAGAAAGAACTTCAGACTGTGTCAGCCTCAAAGGGTACAAGTTTCATTCATTATTTGAGCGAGCACTGGACAGTTACATTACAAAATATCCAGGCTAGTATGATGACATGTAGAAATTATGAAAGTGAAAAAGTAATGATTTATGAAATAAAGAAACATTTATGACTTTAAGGGAATTGACATTTATAAAAAAATGCTTAATAATTATTTGTTTGCTTTATTAAACATTTCCTTCAATGTAATTTGTTTAAGTTGCTTCATTTCCCCTTTCCATAACACTTTCTAATTCTATGGATAGACTTAGTTTCTTGTTCAGTTACATAGTTCCATTGTTAAATTGGAAAGGTCTTGTAATTGACATATCGAGAATCCCCACTAAATTGTAAGTCGTAATTTTTTTGTTCTCAACAACTTCTTTGTCACTTTTACTATCAGTAGTGATATTTTCTGGATTTAGAACCATATTACATATTTTGCAATCCTTTAGTTGATTGATGATTGTGCCATTGGCCTTGCAATGAAGAATTTGTTATATTATCTTTGTTTATTACAACTTATTCATATTTTGTCACAAATTCCATTAATTGAAAAAATTTGTTTTCTGTTTTTTTTTTTTTTTAATTCTTTTAAATTTCTCCTCAACACTTTGCAGTACAGTTAGCTGAAATCTTTAATCATCACCAAACATAATGGCAACACAAAAGATTTCCATACACTTTAGTAATTAATTACTTTTTTTTAATTGTTTAGACTTTGCTGCATGAGTCATTTCTCAAACTGCCATTTGTTGAAAGTCATCTGTAATGATAACAAAAAATAATAATAATGATTCTCCAGGTTTGTACAGGGATATAAATTATTCAGTAATGTAATTCAGTGATGTGTCAATGTAGAATGTTTTGGTTTGAGATTTATGACAAGCAAAAAAGGCTCTGCAGAGCCAAGTTATTGATTATACAGATTGATGCTTATAAAGGATTGTTTCTTCAATATGGAGGTATTTAATGCTGAAGTGAATTAAGAATCTTGACTCTCCTAATTTTTTTTATCATGAAAAGTCAAATACCTAAAATGTACAAAAAACATTTCTAGCAAACAAAGGTTGCTGGTGGTCCAAAAGTTCTGATTTTTTACCATTCCAGATATTGAACGTACGGGATTTCGGATTTTGTACTGTATTTGTAATTAGTAACAGTGGAAATCTACTACATAATGATTTGCATTCTATTTACTTCAGGTGATTTAAAAATGTTTTTGCAAAATAAGTGTAACTTATGCTAGTTATAAATATATATGTGACTCATTGTTACTAGAGGGCAGTGATTTCTGCAACTCTCTATCAGTTATGTCGATACTCTCTGAAGACGGAATAAAAAACTATTCCATGTGGAACCTAATAACTCTAATATCGTTGCTTTTTTAAAGCAGCGGTATTTATAATAAAATTATACAAGGTAGGGAAATTTTTTATTGAGAAATTGTTTATTAATATGATGCATTGTTTATTAGTATGATGCAGATTGAATTTTTGCTCTATCACCTACATTTTAATGAAAGAGTTCTGTATTTGCTAATAATCAATCCTGTAATGAATGCAACAGATAATTACAGAAATTTTTATTGTAATAGTAGGTTTTATTTGTTTAAAAGTAACATTATGAGGGAAAAATATTGCATCTTATATACTCAGCGGATTCAAAAAAAATTAACTTCATGTATTCTATTTTACTGTTAAAATAGATATTCTAAACTTCAAGAATACATTCATTTATAAAAATCATTCATTTATTTAATATATTTCTGTTGTTAAGTTGCATATTTTAAATTCATTTTGTATTTAATTTTTCTAGATGGTTTTTCTCTACTAAGCTGTGTACGAGATGATTCATTAAAACTGATTGATTTCAGAATGAATAATGTTGTACGTACCTTTAGGTATGTACATTTGAATTTGCTGTTTCTCTATTTTTCACACATAACTTCATGCCTTAAATTTTATTTATATATTTTTTCCAATTTCCTGTAGAATAGATGGCTTGTGCTTTGATTGCAGTTGTTTTAATGTATCCTTTCTACTCGTCTTTGCTAGCAATAACACTTTAAAGTTTTTTTTTTTAATTTGTTGAACATGAGTTTTCTTCCTTTCTAGTGTGTGTTCTTACATTGCAAAGCATTATAGTAACAAAACTATGAAACATCAGCCATTCTATAGTCTTCCTATTATTATCTAGTAATTATTATGTACCATTTAAGATTATGAAATATTTTTAACACATATAAATATTTTTGAGAGAAGTGCAGCAAACTGAATTTTATTGGCCTATTTGATTATGGCAAACCACTTTAAGGCTATCTGCCTAAGGAGAAGGATGCATTCATGGAGAACTTTCTGAAGGAAACTAGCTCATATACACAATATGCATGGGAAAAACCACAAAAATGCCCATGCAGCAAGCCTCTTCAACAGGATTCAAATAGTAGATTGAATTACTAGTGTTCAGCGACTTTTTACTCCTTGGCTGCCGATGAGCTCAAACTGAATTTTGAAACTAGGCAAAATTCACTCTGTGTGCATTTAAAGGTAGTCAAGGGCTGATCCCTCTGTTTTGAGAAGCAAAAATATTTTGTGCAATTTTGCTGGAAATATGCATTTAATTATATGAAATGAATATTTTCTGTTTTTATAAAAATTGCCCAAATTTAACTTCCAAGTGTTCTTTAACCCTTTGATGCGCGCAATATTATTTTTATAATTTTTTTAACTAAAAATTCTAGAAATTGAATATTATGATCCTAGACACAAATAATATATGAATTTAAAAAAATCTACTCTTGCCCATTGTTTTGTGGGTGGTGTTCGCACTGTGAAACCACAGCGCATCTAGGACTTTGAAACTTAGCTAGGTAGTAGGAATAAAAAAACTTACCTTTTTCTGTGCGCGTTTCCAATAAATGACGAAATTTACGAATTTTTTTTAAAAAAAGCATGTAAAAATTGCATAATATATATTTTTTACATTATTTTACAAACTAAATCGTCAGAAAAAATTTAAAAATAAACATTTTTGTAATTTTTCTATAGCAGTGAAAGTATAAGTATCTACATAATAAGGACGTTTGACTACATGGATTAAAAAACTCAGTAAAATAAGAATAAAAAAAGACTCAGTTTTTTTTTTTTTTTTTTTTTTTTTTTTTATTTCAATGAACAAATATATTTTGTGACACTGTTCAAAGCATGTTTTGTCTATTTGGTACATGCATAGACCCACATTGCACGTTTCGCACATGTATCTTCTATGATGTTTCTTCCTTGTGCTACAAAATGTACACTGATTGGATCTAAATTCACTGGTATATGTCCAGCGTTATTTAGTTTCTGTTCACCTGGCACATGAAGTCTGTGGTTTTTTTAAGTTAATGGGGGGAGGGGGTTGGTCTTTTTGGTTTTGGTACGGATAATTCGTTTCCCATTCATACTTATTTTATTCGTATTTCGTCTCAAAATATTCAGAAAATATTTTAAATTTAAATAAAACTTTACGCAATTTATATTTTTAATTACAGCAAAGTATATTTACATTAAATTTAAAGCACATGAAATAATTTATAAAATCACAATACTAGCTTGAGGAGCAAGTGTGCTGAGGTCAGAGAAAAATCTCTGGAAAAGAAAGACCTTTATACTGGGCAGGTTGCAGGTATTGTTTAGTAATAAAATAACTCTGTGGTTTCAAAACCCCTTATTTATATCCATGTAAAAATAAACATTCCTATTTGAGAAGCAAGCAAATGGCATTGTGAAGAGCAGTGGTTTCAAGGTGCAACCACTGAGCCTCTAGAGCATTGTGGCACAATGCTCTAGTGGGGCAGTGGTCGCACCCTGAAACCACAAAGCAAATGACATACATATAGAGGTTTTGTATATACATGCAGTTTAATTATTGCTATTTTTTATTGTATATGATAGAAATCATGATGTGCGATGAATGACTTTCGAAATTTAAAGTTGTTTATATTAATAAAAGGAAGTTATTTTGTCTCATTGAAAACGAATTTGAAAAGGCGTCCGATTTGAAGTACTAAGACCTAAAACATGTATGATTCTATAGTGTGTGTTATTTAGAGGTAAAAGATCAGTAATCGATTTTCACTCAAAAATTTCGGAAGGAAGAGGAGAAAAAAATTTTAAAATTTGTGGTTTCAGGGCGCGACCACGGTGCGTCAAGGGGATAATTTCATAAAAGTGGTAGCGGCAGCGCCAAACAGGCGATACAGACTCAAAACCTCTGGAGAAAAGCGCCAATTGGCGAAACAGTAAACCTGCTTGATAACCCTATGGCTGATGGGAAAAGAAGAATTTTCCCCGGCAGTTCTGGGTAACGACTTCAGTCTGTGTGTGTGCGTCTGTGAAACAATTCGTCTTGTGCCTTCCACGTGATATGTAATTGATCTGTGTTGGGACTGTATGCTTCCTTAAGCCATCATTATGTATCTATATTACTTCTCCTTGTTAAATCTTATTCTTAATGTTAAATGCTATCTCAATTAAGATTGCTATTTTTCTAGGTAAGGTTATCTATACTTTTGTAGGCACGCATTACTCGCGCGTACCTCAAAGTTTAAAATCTGAAAGTGTTTTGTAAGAAAAAATTTTTAACCATTAAATAACTTATTGAAGAAGTCAAAAAACAAGAATCAGTGCTATACTTTTAAATTTTGCAGGACTAGTTTCGATGGTTTACGTCTAAGACCATCTCCCTCAGATGCCAAAGTGCAAATGAATGAGGTAAGATATTCTGATAAGATAAGAATGGCTGGACAGGAGTTAAGCTACTGGTGCTATCTATTGATGAAACAAGAAAACAAAAACATAATTTCCTTAAAGGCTGAACGTAAGGGTGGATTGAAATTAGTGTTGTTAACTGGAACAAGAAGATTGTTTTGAATGTCAAACACCTCTAGAAAATCTAATTCACCAATAGAAGATGGTTTTTGAATAATTATAGGTGCAGAAAAATGGAAAGGGTGATTTTCGGACCAACAGTGCTGGGCAACAGAGGACTTCTGTGTTTCCTTTTTCCTAACACACGCCTCATGTTCTTTAACACAAAATTTTAAGGCTCTCTTAGTTTGACCAATGTAAATTAAACGACAGTGGCAAGGAATCCTATAAAAACCAGGAATTCACATGCAGAATGGAGTCCTTGAGTTATGGAACTGGGAATTTTACTAATAAGAGAATAAACAACCCGAAAGTTAAATTTCTGTAAAATACACTGGGGAAATAAATTAAGAGAATTTTCATATTTGATCTACAATCTCCAGAACTACTGGACAGATTTTTAATAAAATGTGGCGTGATCATAGGTTAATATAATACAAGCAAAATAAACATTCAACAGTTATAATAGACACACATGTTCGTGACTAACACGCATGGGAGTCTGAAGATCTGAAATATTGGTTGCAGAAGACACAAAAGAAATGGGTTAATACGGAGTATGGTCCCCTCTTACAGCCATACAGATCTTGCAGCATGATGTCATACTGGAAATAAGGCAGTTTATCGGTGCCTGTGGCAATTTACCCCACTCATTCAGCAACGCTGTTTTCAGTTCCTGGATGGTTCTCGGAGAGGGGTTTTGAGTTGCAATTGCCCTCCTCAGAGCATCCCAGACAAGCTCTATAGGGCTGAGTTCTGGAGACCCGGCTAGCCAATCCATTTGGCGAATATCCTCGCTCTTGAGAAATTCGTCAACCAGAAGAGCTCTATGTGGCCTCGCGTTATCATCCTGTAAGATGAACTCTGGGCCCACTGCACCCCAGAAAAGGTGAACATATAGCTCCAAAACCTCATCCGTATACCTCACACCAGTCACGGAGCCTCTGTCAAAAACGTGGAGAGGTGTGCGGCCATCTGACATGATGTCTTCCCAGACCATTACACCGCCACCACCATAATTGTTGATTTCGTGGACATTGGAGGTCAGGTAGTGGGTGCTTGGCTCTCTCCATATGAAAGTACAGCAAGAATCGGTGTTTAGGCTAGAACGGGATTTATCAGTGAACAGAATGGTCACCTGTTGCTCCGTACTCCAATCACTATGCTGCCTGCACCATGCTAATCGGACTCTCCTGTCTGTAGACGTGAGTGGGACGCAAACAGTCCATCTTCTGGCAAACAACCCTCTCTCGTTCAATCTTTTGGAAACAGTCACCCTTGTTACACGGGCTCCTGTGGTTGCATACGGGTTCCTAGACAGCTGAAAAGCTGTAGCCCCTTTGTTATGCCTCGCTAAAAGGGACAAATACCGATCTTCTCTGGCCATTGTGGCTCTTCGATGACCTTGCCCATGCTTTCTCTCGGATCCAGTGCCCTACAACCGTTTCCATATGTTACTCATGACACTAGGCATTAAATTAAACTCTCTGCATATCTGGACTTGCGATTAGCCTGTCTCTAGCCTTCCCACAATTCGCCACCTAATTCCATCATCTAAAATGTTGGTGGTTACTTATTTTTACTGTTATGATGTGAAGTTAACCAATTGCTGCAAGATAACACCAAGAAATTCGCCCAGGTGTGCTAGTGAATGCAATTCGTCTTACCCTCCATGTGCTTATAAAGCCTGTTTTTCTGTTGACTCTGCCTACACACATGTGTACGCTTACGTATTTGCCGTACAAGATTTGCATTTTTATCTAGAAGCAGTGGTTTTTCCCTCAGTTCAGTTTTCATGCAATTCGATAAAATATGCAAATTCTTTTAATTTATTTCACCAGTGTACATGTAATTTTATAGCTAATTGATGGAAAAGGAGGAATGATAACAGAATTTTTATAATCTTCTAAAACAAGAGTGTGCATTTTGGTATGTTGAGAATTTTTTAACTGCTTGGTTAATAATGTTGGGTGAAAAGCCGCTGTCCATA